CAGTGGAGGCATAGGCAGATATGACGAAGAGGCAACGGCGAGTGTCCCTATCTTTCCGAGTCCTCACTGTCCCGTTTAGTCGGACAGCGCACAAGCGACTATCTATTGGGATCCAGTCAATGAGAGATTGTTCAGCTCTACGACTGAATGCTATGCCTACACCAGCAAGACCCCGGGAAGCAGCATCAGGACTGCCGGATACACGAAGAGTAAATCGAGCTGCTTCTTTATTTTGACATGGTGTGGCCAAGTGTATGACGCGACTCGGATCCTGTATGCGCGTTTCCGATTCACAGCATACATCGATGGCACGAGATTCTAAAGTCCTAGCTAATGATGCCTGTTGCCCTATTTGACACAATGTCTGTACATTAACCGCTCCAACATGTAGTCTAGAGCGGGGTTTAAGGAGACCAGGAATAACGTTTTGTGAGCTCGCAACGTTTGCATTAGCTGTGCAGTGTGGTAAATGAATTTGAGAAGAGTTAGTCGTGGAGATAAGAGAGCTATTAGGGGTAGTAGAAAGGATTTGATTTTGACCAACTTGGTCTCGTGTGCTGTTATGGGTATGAGGGCGGTTGTCACTTCCCGGCTGCCCACACCGTGGAAGGGCGTTTCTTGAGGGACCTGAAAGGGAAGATAGATTAGGGTTGGTCTTGTAGACCTGGGTGCGTGACCGCAGAGTTCAAGGGACAACTGCTTGAGGCCGGTCATGCACGGCCTTTTTATGAAAGGTTTTTTGAGGATTAGCTCCGTTCTTAAAGGCCCTTAGTGGGCAACCTTACCCAGGGAAACGGAAATCCGTGAGTTAGGGGAGGTGTGACATTTTTAGGGTCGACCTTTTCTAACCCTTTCTTCCTTGTGAGAAGACAGCATCGCTGCAGATGCTGGTTGTCCGAGGGAAACACCTTACTGCTGTCACACCCCTCTGCAGTCAGCAGTACGACTTCGCCCTCAGACCTTGGGTAGCTGCTTTTAGTCTCATCGTTCTCCAATCGACCAGCCTGGCATGGTAGGACCTGCAGGAACATATGTTCCAGCCATTATAGCTCGGTTGGGTCATGACGATAGGCAAGCCCGACCACCACGTCAAGGTAGCAGCTACGGTCGGGAAAGATTATAAACCGTTATAATGATAATCAAATAATTTTCTTTTAAATAGCGAGCGCTCTAAAATACTGAAAATTAAAACAAGAACAAGATAAGCGAACTGTTTTGGTTAGACTAAAAGGAGATGTTGTAATGATTTATTAGTTTTATCATATGTAAGTATGAAAGAGCAACTAATTCCTCACGATAGAGGTTATAAAGTTATGAATTTAACTTAATACATGATAAATTATTTTTTGTCATTGAATTGTTTACAAGTCAAGAAGCATTTTAATCATACACCTACGAAGTTGATTAAAGCATATTTGTTTACATGTTTGTAATATTGTATCAAAGTAAAGATTCCTAAGAGTGTTCTACCGAAAACAATAGAGATTGTTGAAGAAGTCTTTACTATTAATCCTAAGTCATAGTTATTTAGTGTTTACGATTGACGTTTACATCGTTCACTTTTTTCTAAACTTAAGCTACAATTATTCAATATTTTATCATGTAAACTTAACTAAATCCATCATTCTGAATTGCAATAATAAAGTTGCTTCATCTTCTAAATATTGTGTGGTGCAATGTTAAATATGCGAGAACACCATCAAGTTCCATTGCATTGCATGTGACTTTCATTTCAGTGAGTTTATTTATCTAATAATAAATGACCAAGTTACATCTACAAATTAGTTCAGCTCTTGTTATCCTAAATATTTGTAATTCATTGAAATGCAGTTAGAACTGAAGGTCTTCTGTCTGAAAAAACGATTGAATAGCTTTGGAACATGTGATTTAATTGAAAACTTGACTCTTTTTGCTTAGTGCATTTTGCAGTTCAATGACTTTGTATTAAGACTAGTGGATACACTGCAATTGTAAATGAAAAAGAAACAATATGAAATACATTTAATTAATAAAATACTCAGTGTTATTCATACAGCAAGGTTTAAATGATAACATTTCATTATAACTGTGTGTTATTTCCATTTCCATAATCATCTACTAGATTGGGATTGCACACATTTTAAGGATATATAAACATAAAATTTAGCGGAAAAAAACTTATGGACCGTATAGTGAAATCTAATTGCTGAAAAGTTTAAAATTTGCAGTATAGATTACATTAGATGACCAGTGTGCATAACTCCTGGCTGTCGACTTCACTCGTTTAACCACTGGATGACCGAGATGGAGCTGCCTCAGCACTTTTCCCATTGACAACCTGCTTGATACTTTCAACCTACCGGTAGCCTCACCACGAGAAGAAACTCAGCAGCAAACTGTTCTCCGTTCCAGAAGGTATCCTCTTAGACAGCGGCGAGCGACAGTCAAGATGCAAGTCGACCCCAGGAGTACACGCTATTAAAAAGGGGAGGAGTGTTGGGGATGTTAGATCCCCAGAACTCGCTTGATAAATGCCTTATTTTAGATTTCACGTCTGCAAGCATACGCTGATCAGTTGACCTTGATATTTCATTACCCACCAGGAAAATCCTTGGCTGTGATTGGCTGTTGTGTATGTCAGTGTGCTATTTTTGTGACTGTCCCAAGGACGTTTCTAAACGAAAGTTGTGTGCTTGATTGCATTGTGACTGCTGGGTGTGGTAGAATATACTTCTACGCTTATCAAGACTTCTGTTTTCCAGTTTGGTATTCAAGGTAGCCTACCTGGACGCTGGTAATTGTCTCGTTCGCATTTATCGACTAAGGTGAACTCGTAATAGCTTCAAGCGTACCTAGTGACGAACGTAACACCTAGTCTAATCTTTTTTAAAATCTAACTGATCTCTGTCTGAGAGGATGTTAAAATGAAAAAAGTATGATATAATAGTTAAATTGGACTTTTTAAACTAGATTTCTAATAATAGTTTTTGTATTAATTATGATGTTAAGAGCAGTAACTTAGTCGGTTTGAGTGAGATTGACATACGATATTGATTTATATATCATTTAGTATCAAACACCATTCAGTTTATTGTATGCAAACTTGGCCATTAATTAGTGTTAATCATCTAGAAATTATCAAATCAAATATCAGCCTGATTTATTTTGGGTGTCTAATCGTGATCTTGTATCACCCAATTGAAGATTTCCAGCAGTAAATTTCAGTTCAGTCAATTATTCAGGCAGACACAACAAATTAATACTGTAATCTACGACATATGGTTGTAACATTACTAGTCTCTTTCTACGAAACCTTTACCTATTACTTACTCACTTGTTTACGCCTGTTACACCGAATGTAGCATAGGCTGCCCACCAGTTTTCTCCAACCAATTCTGTCATGGGCTTCCCTTTCTAGTCCTTTCCAGTTTTCGTCCATTCTTCTCATGTCTTTCTCTAATTCTCAGCATAATGTATTCCTTGGCCTTCCTCTTTTCCTATGACCCTGAGGGTTTCATGTCAGGGCTTGTCTTGTGACGCAGTTCAGTGCTTTTCGCAGTGTGTCCTATTCACTTCCACTGCTTCTTCTTGATTTCCTCCTCCACTGGGATCTGGTTTGTTCTGCCGATAACTAAACCAGTCTAAATACACCGATTACTAATTAGGTAGATTTTTTGAAACTAGTTATTAATTTATGGTATTTTGCCTGTTTCCTTCTTAACGGTCAACTTGAATAGTTTATTTCAACACCTATAAAGAAAGGTAAACAGACTAATTCTGTTTAAATTTTATGATATTAAAATACACATATGTATAATTTTAATTATCACGTTTGAATAGTATATTTTTAAAAGTTTGAGGAGATTAGCGTATTTTTTCTAGATTAGTTCACTATTTCCTTTAGTTATATTATTGTCTAGCTTAGGATACATCAACACCGACTACTGCTTAGTTTTTTGTTAGTACAGCGTCTATTGAGTGTAACATATAGACATATTATCTCTAAATTTATCGATTTATTTAATCAGATAAAAAGAGATAAAAGGTATCTAATGGAATTTCTTATATTCTAGTTCTACTTTCTAGTGAATGGCGCCTGCTTGAACAGATTATTAAAAACTTGTACTCATTACAAGAAAAAAATTTTAAATTTATAATTTATCTGATGATTTTTTTCTTTATAATAAAATTCTCTTCGACTTGCGTAAAATTTTCTCTAATTTTACTAGTTGCGTGCTCTGAAATAATTTTATTGAAGAGAGTTAGAATGATATGTTTAATATTGTATTAAACGAGTATTTACGGTCGTATAAACTTTGGAAAAATACTGTTGCATATACAAAAATAACACTTAATAATACTAAACACGACATCCTCACTAATATAACTTTGATGGAAGATTTAAAATTATGATCAGTTTGATTTATATCTGCTATAATACCCGGTATTCTGACGGTACTTGGAACTAGAATACAACAGCTTACTTTTCACTTAGCTCAGAACATTACAAAATTTCAAGTCTTTCAAATTAGATTTGTCGGTAAAAAACTTCAAAAGACTGAAATCACATTTAAGTATAATTTCGTCATACTTATGGTCATACCCTTAAAATCTGTCCTTGTGGATACAAAAAAACCGCAATCGGTATGATGCTAGCCGCAAAGATCACATTTCAAATCTATAGAAAATCTTACGTTCTTATTGCGTCCTGACATTTCATATGTAGCGTATAGTAATTCTAGATGAAATAACTGTGTCTAGTTTAATTTGATAACACACAAAAAGAAGTAACGAAAAGCCTCCTGGTAAATTTATAATTTCCTGTTATTTGGTTCTTTTAATTTATTATTTACGTCATTTGCACTTAAAGTATAACTCATTTTTTAAAAGATTGTAGATATCAATTGAGTAGAGAACAAAACATCAAAGAAATAAACAGGATTTAATCGGAAAATATAGATTAAGAATGATAGAGTTATCTAGAGTATATGCGAGAATAGACCGTTATCTTTATTTTCTAAATGACTGATTATAATAAGATGTGTATGTATATTAATATAAGTAGTGCTAGAAACATTTATAAAAGTAAAAAGATTGCTGTTATGATTAATTATAGTAATTATATTAAAATGAAAACTACTACTACTACTACTACTACTACTACTACTACTACTACTACTACTACTACTACTACTACTACTACTACTACTACTACTACTACTACTACTACTACTACTACTACTACTACTACTACTACTACTACTACTACTACTACTACTACTACTACTACTACTACTACTACTACTACTACTACTACTACTACTACTACTACTACTACTACTACTACTACTACTACTACTACTACTACTACTACTACTACTACTACTACTACTACTACTACTACTACTACTACTACTACTACTACTACTACTACTACTACTACTACTACTACTACTACTACTACTACTACTACTACTACTACTACTACTACTACTACTACTACTACTACTACTACTACTACTACTACTACTACTACTACTACTACTACTACTACTACTACTACTACTACTACTACTACTACTACTACTACTACTACTACTACTACTACTACTACTACTACTACTACTACTACTACTACTACTACTACTACTACTACTACTACTACTACTACTACTACTACTACTACTACTACTACTACTACTACTACTACTACTACTACTACTACTACTACTACTACTACTACTACTACTACTACTACTACTACTACTACTACTACTACTACTACTACTACTACTACTACTACTACTACTACTACTACTACTACTACTACTACTACTACTACTACTACTACTACTACTACTACTACTACTACTACTACTACTACTACTACTACTACTACTACTACTACTACTACTACTACTACTACTACTACTACTACTACTACTACTACTACTACTACTACTACTACTACTACTACTACTACTACTACTACTACTACTACTACTACTACTACTACTACTACTACTACTACTACTACTACTACTACTACTACTACTACTACTACTACTACTACTACTACTACTACTACTACTACTACTACTACTACTACTACTACTACTACTACTACTACTACTACTACTACTACTACTACTACTACTACTACTACTACTACTACTACTACTACTACTACTACTACTACTACTACTACTACTACTACTACTACTACTACTACTACTACTACTACTACTACTACTACTACTACTACTACTACTACTACTACTACTACTACTACTACTACTACTACTACTACTACTACTACTACTACTACTACTACTACTACTACTACTACTACTACTACTACTACTACTACTACTACTACTACTACTACTACTACTACTACTACTACTACTACTACTACTACTACTACTACTACTACTACTACTACTACTACTACTACTACTACTACTACTACTACTACTACTACTACTACTACTACTACTACTACTACTACTACTACTACTACTACTACTACTACTACTACTACTACTACTACTACTACTACTACTACTACTACTACTACTACTACTACTACTACTACTACTACTACTACTACTACTACTACTACTACTACTACTACTACTACTACTACTACTACTACTACTACTACTACTACTACTACTACTACTACTACTACTACTACTACTACTACTACTACTACTACTACTACTACTACTACTACTACTACTACTACTACTACTACTACTACTACAATTATTAACAGATATAGGGATGGTAACATTAAAAAATTTCTAAAAAGTAACTAGAATAAATTGATATCAGTTTCAAAAGCTCCATAGGTTATTGAAAAACCAAGAATGATTAGGCGAACGAATTATCTCCAATAATTTTATCATCTAGTTCTGCTGTTATCATGTTATTTTATCTTGTGCTATGATAGGCGACTTGAGGCATATATGAAATTTCGATGAGAATCAAGTGATTTTTCCACAGTGTACATTCTTCTTTTACCTACTACCAGTGCAACTGTAAGGAGCTAAGAATACTGGTGCTAGTTAAGTAAAGGAGAATAATGTTATGAAAACTATTTTACTAATGATCATTTCATCAGGCGTGATGAACAATACTTTGTCTAAACGTTTCAATAAGAACAGAACAACTGATAGATTAGAAGTACAAAATGTCCGGACTTAGGACTCATTAACCAATAAAGTGCTTAGTTTTAGTTTTTGATTTAGTTGCAGCGGTTCTTGTATTTAGATTATCCAACTACATTTTTCTGTTAAATGCCTACAGTTATAATGTTTAAAAAACTTAACCTATAAAATATGAATCACTTTTCGATCTTTTAGTTTCATCCCGACAAATCACAGAGAAATTTCGGAAAATTTTATTATCATGTAAAATATAACTGTAGTGGGGGTTGAAGATGATTTTTTCTCAGCAAAGTATATATGAATGAATCTCAGAGACTGTTTGTTTAGTCATAAGTAAATTGTGTATGTAAACCAGCGATGTTTACTCAAACGAAGGATAAGTTACCTGAGTTAGCCTCCTCTATGAGCATTTACAAATTCAGCTGCTCCTGCGGAAATAGCTATATCGGGCGTACTACGAGGTAATTTGACCAGAAAATTAGTGAACACCTCCCATAATGGTTTATGAAGGGCCACTTAGAAACAATACGCAGTTCTGTCTTAGCACATCTGGTTGATAGTGGTCACATTGTAGATAAACCTAGATCTTTTCGTGTAATCTATCGTTTACCTCCATCATTTCTCAACGGATTTCGATTCCGTCTCCTACACATGGCAGAAGCCGTAGGAATTCGTACATTCAACCCCAATTTATGAGTTCGGAAGAAATTCGTGACAAGTCTATTTCTTTCGTGGCCAGATATGACTTAACTAACGTTTAAATTTCTTTTACATTTTATTTTGTTAATATGAGTATTATGTTCACATCACATAATTCGTTTGACCTGCTAGTAATTGATAAAACTTTTGTTACCGTATTTCATTTTTCTTACTATTATCTGTATACATATCTTCCTACTATCAACTTGTACTTTTGCCTATTAGGTGCAGTGATGTAATCTACTTCATTTCATTGTGGTTATTGACTCTTAAATTGCCTTGATCGGTTTAACACTTTCATATAAATATTCATGTATATTAGAGTAAAGCCTGATGACAATCTAATCGAAAACAATATTGTTCGCTTATGTGTTGTTTTAAGTATTGTAGTAAGGTAATAATAACAAATACTACTGCTATTGTTTCTTTAATCATTAACACTGCAACTAAAAGTCTACTGTCACTATTATTACAACTTTTATAGTAAAAATTATGTCAACTAGCACTACCACCGTTGATGCATCACAAAACAGTGTAGGATAAATGTAAAAACATGTCATATTACGATTTAATTAGTAGGATAAAATTGTAATTCTGCTCACAAACAACGTTATTCATGAAGACTTTATTGAATTTCCAGTGGTAAGTTTATTATACTTCTTTATGTCAAATAAAGTTTCTGACAAATAAATTTATCGCAATTTTACTCACTTAATGTTTCAACATTTTTTATTTACGCTTTCTCTTGTAAATACTTTAAAGAAGATTATTTTCTACTGTTGTTGATAGTATTCTCAATTATAAACTTTTATGGTTATTATATTCGTGGATTGACATAACATTTCATAAGATAACCTATTTGAGGGAAATAACATAAACTGTCTTCTTATTAATTATAATACAAAGTTGTAAACATTAGGTGATATAATTGGTTGGAAGAAACACCTTTGCATAGTTAACTTATTCCATCTATTCTGATTTGAACAATCCGGTAGTACTACATGCTTGATATATTAAAGTACGATTGAATCGCCTTGGCTGTTCAAAGTTTAAACTAACGAATTCGTTATTGATCAGGTGAAATTGTATATACAAAATGGTACATGGATACAATGAATTCTAAAATTACATGAATGACGAAATATGCTCTTACACATGTGCTGGAAAAGACCGCTAATTATAACCAATATGTCATACAAGTTGAGGAATCCAATTAGTTGTAAAGTCCTTCTCTGTAAACAAAGGGTTTTCAAAATGAATATGATCATTTATACACTTTACATTCATCAAGTGATACCTCTTAAATACAACGATTTTTGTGGAGTTATTCGAATTTTTTAATATTTCAGTTTATGCTGTTTATATATTTTGTATTCACCGAGGTTATTTCATATCGCTGGGGATTTTTAATGTGATTTGAGGCAAATAAATATGCTCAATAACTCCTCTGTATTACAGTTTGTCTTTAGGGATTATTTTTTGAAATAAAATTAATTTGATTGGCTAAAATTCATCAGTGTAATTTGATTAGCTAGTTATTTTTTTTAACAAATTTTAGTTGGGAAAGTCGATATGAATTCACCAAAAAAAATTTTCTTACTTCTGAATAAATACTTTCAAACATTATGTTGTGTGAAGAATTTTGTACTTAACACGAAAACACATACTGGTAAACGTTTTTTTTCATTAGAAGAATCACTAATCAAAAGTAGCTGGGGGTTAAAAACAAGAAAAGTAAAATATATATATGCATGAAGATGCAAATGAGTACATTCAACCCTGGTGAAGTGTCCCATTGGAATGATAATGAACAATCACCTTCATTGAATGATTTAAGAATGGGTAGATTTCGACGTATCACTTCAATTACCTGTTTATTCAATATAATTATAACAATAGCTTTATGTTTAATGACTGTAATCGCGATCACATTTGCATTATCTTATTTTGGTGTATGGTTCAATAATTCACAGTCAAATGATGTAAATATTTTCTGTGGAAAAATTAAAGGTATTCAACAGGATGATTATACAATAAGTTATTTAGGAATACCATACGCTCTACCACCAATTAATGAAAATCGTTTTAAACGCCCGATATATTTATCCTCAAAGAAATTATGTCATAAAGCCTGGGAGCTAAGTAATACCACAATGTTGAACTCAGTTTATTATACACAATATTATAAACCTTTATGTTTGCAATCATTACCAAAATCCTCACATGATACATTTGTTGGCAGTGAAAATTGTCTTTACCTTAATATACACGTACCAATCAGCAAGAAATCGATAAATCAACCAAAACCAGTAATTATTATCATAGATGGATTATTTTTTATGTATAGCAATGAACCAAGACAGCCTAGTTCAGATACCATACATAAAACTGATGCCATTCATGTTACATTTAATTATCGTTTAGGTCCATTTGGATTTTCACCACATCCTTATGAAAAAATACCGAATCTTGGTTTACATGATCAATTACTAGTGTTACAATGGATTCGTAATAATATTGCTCAATTTGGAGGTGATCCATTGAATGTGATTTTATTTGGTTATGGTTCCGGTGCCACGTGTGCATTGACATTGTTCTATAGTTCAATTAGTAATCAATTATTTGATAAACTATGGATTACTGCCCCTGGATTAAGTCTATCAAATGTATCTGTAGATGAAACTATTCAAACAATGAATTACGCTTTAAATTGTCAAGATGAATTAAATCCTAATGATTGTTTAAATAAAAAGTTGAATAATTCAAAAAATATTTTAAATATGTGGAATTGGTCGATAGTTGAACAGTGGTTAATTGACTCAGTGTTCAGTTTACCATCTGTTCACGAATTGAGTCATCTCAAGACAGAAAGGTTTATCAATATTTTGATCAATGATGATAAATTTGTAAATATTGACTTTTGGAATAAAATTATTTTCCCAAATAGTATTAAGCCAATGGTTATTGGACAAACATCACATGAAGTTTCAATTTATCCAACACCAAAAACAATACCATTTTGGAATAAGAATATTTATAAAAATTATATTTTTAAGAAGTTGAAAACAAAAAATTTAACACACTATCAATATTTCCTTTCGAGTAGTTTTAATAATTTGAATTGTACACAAATGAATAATGTCACAGACGATGAATTAGTTGATGAGAATGATGACTGGATGTCTACCTTGATGTCGCTCGTTACTGATAGTCGACTGACTTGTCCGTTAACTGAGCTGGTTAATAAGTTTACAAATCATTTTTATCCAATTTATCAATACTATTTAACTGGAACTCACAGACGTTTTGATCCATATTCTCTAAACGGATATGTACCGTATGCTTTTCATGGATGGGATGCCATGTTATACTTACGAACTTATGAAGTACATAACGATTTCACCGATCCAAGTTTATTACAAACACATGATCCACATAGTAATGCAGAAGAATTGAATCGATTAAGGAAAATCAGTGATTTACTCAATTCAGCAATGTATCAATTCTCACGAACTGGATTTATATCTGATTGGTATGAGTCAAGAAAAGGCAGGTATGATGTGAATCTAATTGAAAATGGTAGATTATGTAAATATGTAAATATAATGAAAGAACGTTGTGATTTTTGGAAATTCTTTTTTGACAATGATTTATTCAGTTCATCATGGAAATTTTAATGAATTGATTTTTCTCTTATCATCTCAATCTGCTTAATTGATGTTTACTTCAATCTACTGTTGTTGCATAAAAATGCATTTCAGTAAAAAAAGCTTAGAAGAAATTTAATCAAGTACAAAATTGAATTAAAAATTGTATCTTATTTTTTTAATACAGAAGTATGATTTTAAAATTTCAATAAAAATTGTCTTTTTAACTATAAGAGCGATCTAATGCTTTTCTCTCAAAATTTATTTAATTGGAAGTTTGTTTTGTAATGCCTTAGGTTATAGTAACCTGTTCCAATATGATATGAATGGTTTTAAGAGAATAGCTAATTATAATACTATCTAGTCAGTTGATTGTTTAGTCTAAAAGTAATCAGTTTATAAGTGAGTAGAGAAGCTACAGCCACTATCTTTATAGTACTGAATAGTTCAGTTATGAGGTTGTAATTTATTGGGTAGGGTATATTTCTCTGGTTCGACAGATCAATAATTTTAGATGCTTTGGTGTGAAGTAACGAAGATCCTGAGAGAATATTATTAATCGCATAAGATGATATGAACTACGTATACATGATGATAGAAATTATTTGTTAAAAATGGATACCATGAAGTGGCTGAAACACGAAAATATTGCGAGATTGTAATTTGTGGACTAACCAATCAGATTAAAAAACGACCGGTCTTGGATTTCGGCGCGAAATTCATCCATGTATATAGCTGAAAAGCATTTTGGTACTATAACTGATGTCAGTTTGTGACGGAAACCCTAACTCTAATTTCTAACCCTAACTTTTAACTCATAATCCCAATTCTAATTCCTTACACTAAATCATAACCATCTTTAGACCGTTGGTGAATCTTCCCAAGGTCACTTTGATGTCGCTCAAAGGTCTTCCATATAGTTTAATAAGTTATTACTCAGGGATTAAAACCTGTAAGTCTTAAGAGGAATTCTTACTGAATAACTTGATGAAAGCTAACTTCCTGTCTGCTATTTAATCTACAAGAGATGACTAAATTAATTGAGATGTTTTCATAATTTGATAACAGACAAATGTTAATAACCACCTTAAATGTTTCAATATATAGGCAAAAAATGATAGTAATTAGTAATAATTTCGACTGATTCTTCAATTTATTACGATTTCAATGTTAATCCACATGATAAATCTAATGATGACAATGAAGATACAAAATTTCCAAAAACTATGCCCAAAAAATCTCGAATGTTTCCTAATACTTTAAAGCAAATTATTTGCAAACACTTTACTTCCTACCGATGCATCATATGTTTGAACTCTGTTTCATTGGTGACGAAGTTGAATAGTATAAACTGCTCTCACATGCAACCGTATATTTCATAATCTATTATAAAAACTTATTTGTACAAAATCTGATGTATAGTCTAATTAACAAGTAAATTATGTCATTGAAAGCAAACAATTGTGATTTTGAAAAAAGAAAAAACGGCATATTTAATTATAAGTTAGTTTATAGTCTCTTACTAGTCAAGTAAATTAGACTGCCTTTTCTTCATTGCCAAATTGACTAAGTTTGTACCATGAAGAAGGATGTAAAGAACTTCTCAAAAACAAAAGGATTTTTATTGTGAAGAAAAGAAGTTAAATAAGCATGAATTGTTTTGTTTAGGTAATCATATTTTACTTTTAATTATTTTTCCTAACAAAAGATGCAATTCATAGTCATATCAATATTGATTAGATATTTAGTTTGATGTGTAAGCTCAAATTTTCGGTTGAATAGATACTATTTTCTATCAGTTATAATCTAATCAGTTATAAAATTTAACGCAATCATTTGAATAGTACGTGGGTTTGTTCACTTCAGCGGCTTCAATAAATCACCATGTTGATCGAATAAGTCATTAAGAATTGAGTTATATGTTGGATGTTAATTTATAACTTATTAAATCATAAAAAAAACTCAAAACTATTCTCAGTAGCACTGTAGACGTAAAAAATCTTCGTTCACTGTATTTTGAACAATTACTTACATACGCCTCTTACCCCTTATGGAGCACAGGCCATCGACCAACATTATTCAACTTACTCTGTCCTGAGCCTTCCCTTCCAGTTTTACTCAATTTCTGTTTATTTTTGGATAGAAGGCTTAGGACGAAGTAGGTTGGAGAATGCTGGCAATTAATATATTTGTAGGACCCAAGACAGGATAAAGGAGGCTTGGTATTAGTGACATAATCCCTTAAATAACCAACTCGCTTTAAAAGTGCTAACCAGAAGAAATATATTGTGCAATACTTATTTCTTAAAAATTAAAAGTGATATGTATTGCTGTATGATATATGAAGGAGAAAAAGGTCAAAAATACTAGTAGCAAAATTTAAAATTAATATTTTCTAAAACATTGCAATACAATTAAAATTTAAAAATCATAAAATCTGCCAGTAAAAATTCAAATAATTCAGCCTGAATATTTGGTAATTTGATGATTGAAAATTGAAAAGGAAACTGAAAAAAATACTAGTAGTTTCCGTTTGCTTGTCAAGTGTAGTTCACAAACAACACACTTTAAAATATGTTAATTAATAATTTGAAATTAACTTTCAATTTTGCAAACTCTGAGACTTATTTGAAACAAAGCAAGAAACATATTTGGATTTTTTTTAAACATAGTTAAATAAAATGGACTGTTTTGAAAACTGATATGTGCATTTTTTGTGTTAATAGTTTATTCTAATATTCTGATGTATAAACTCAATATCAATAAGCAATTTCAACTGACAAATGCATTTATTTGTTTTAATTATTATTCACTTAAAAGGAATTCCATGCTATAACATTTGATATATGGCTAACTAAACAAAACACTAAATATTGAGTGATTTTATTAGTAACATCAACGATGCATATTTTTGTTTTGAATTTAGTACACTTCGTAAACGGCTTTCTAAAATACTGTGATAAAAAAAATTCACAAAGTATTGATTCAGTTCGAAAAATTGTGCAATAAAATCTTTAGTTTATTGTAATGACATAAATGTTACTAGACAAATTTTAAGCAACGATTTGTTAAATGTTTTCATTAAAATCAACAAACCTTTTTTAAAAATTTAAAATCAAATATTCATTCAGCCTTATTTCATATTGAAAATAATGTTACTGTCTTCAATCAACGTTGTATCTATAGTAGACAAATCGAAGTGAGCAAAAATATTACGTCAGTGATTATGTTCATTTTATTATTATGTAACAAATTAATGAAGATGACAAAAATTCCTTTAAACATAAATAGGTCCTCTTTCACATGAGATGCTGACTTTGACTAATGTTCTTCTATTTCAAAAATTATATTCTGCTTTTATTTGTAGAATTTTTTTTAATGAATGATTGAACTTTTATTTTCCATTTCAAAAAAATTAAACAACATTGAAGAAAGCCAAATGAACACTAAAGATTTGAGATTTTTATTGCTTTTCAAATGTTTAAATTATTTCTTCTTTTTCATTATTCAACTGATTTATCATGAAATGGACTATTTATTAGTATTCGACATTGAACACCGATTTGTAAGACTCATTGAAGAAGGTGCTTGTAAAAGCTTGTCTTTTGGATAAATAAACCACTTTTCGTACATTCTGATAAGCATTAGAATCCTTAAAATTTGAACATAATGAGAAATTTCATATCTCGTTTTGATTTATTTGATGGGGTTGGTTTCTCCAAGTTATATGGCATAACTAAGAAATGGATGTTGATAATAATATTCAGAATAAAATTGAAGGCTTCATTGTTAAAACATTTTTACCGAAGAAGACTGAACATAACATATACACAAACATTTTCTCTGTTACAGATTACCCATGAATAACTCTTGATAAAGTGTCTATTATTCACTAATATACTCAAAAGTTTATTGATCAGTCACGTTTAAAAAACAATTATAAAAGTAGACTTACATTAATAAATTAAAAAAAAACAGCCTATAACTTTTCATTTTGCATACACACTCATTTTCGCGTTGCTAAGTTACAGAGTGTTTATTTTTGTTTGTAAGAGTGATGTAATAGTTTTTGTTCAATTGTCAAAAGATTATGATATATTAATGTTTTATGATAAAGTATTATTCCAGTGTACTTTGTTTAATAATTGTATTGGGTGGCCTTCACCATACCTAATCAGTATCTAAAAATAATTAGTCGTTTCCACATGATTCCATAGGTTGTAAAGTGTTTGCTGATAGGAGGAACTCGTCAATAACAAATAACAATTTCTTAATAAAAAATTCTGCATTTAAACAGGATAGAAATGTACCAATTAATAACTTGTATTCTATTGAGAAAATAGTAATTTTACTAGTAGATTTAAATGAGCAAGTTAATATATCTCATTCTTACTAGTGTCGGAAAATCAATGTCACAGGAAGTTTATACAGGACGTAAAACTATGGAATGGTAGATTTTTAACTGATATGTTTGTCGTATGTATGATTGAAATGTTAGATTTAAGAAAAACATATTTCCGTTTGGTTAGTTTACTGAACTTAAATCAATATAACATTCATTAACTTTAAGTCGAACGCTTGTGTATTTCTTTTCTAGTTAATGACTGATTTGTTAATTATTTCATTGAAACGTAAAATCTAATAATTAATTATGTACCAAATGTTTTAGAATTCTGATATTCAATGGTGAATAAACACAAACTTGAATTAGAAATATATTCATTTAACTGCTAATGTTGAACATTGTACATCTATTTAACCAAACAATATATCATATGTTTCAGTATTTATGAAGATTTTCCTACTCATGAATATCATATTTGGTATACTTATAAACCTATGCCTAAAGATAATATGTACTAACATTTTTTAGTATACAGCTAAGAGGTTTTCATTAAGAATGAATTTACAGTATGTAACGCATAGCCATTTTTTATTCATGAGGCCCATATTCAACTGCACGGAATGCGAGAGAAGGTTATCAAATGATCTCTTAGGTGAATATCTTAAGTGCAATCCTAAAAATTTCCATTGAACTCTTCATCCTATCAGTAATATTTGTTAGTATGGTCACTATTTTTGTATTGTAAAATATGTTGAATAACAGATATGTGGTTAATATTTGGAAATTAA